TTATGCTTATGCTAGGGAAATATTGGGGTCATATCGGGATAGTGGAAAATAAAATGGAAACTACTATATAGGGTTTAGGGTAAAGAGACCTGTGTGCTTTCACAGGGGTGTTGCATGGATTATCTCACTGAAATATGAAGAGGCTGTGTCGGGGGTATGTGCCAATATTGTCGACGTATCGCGGGGTTCCTATGTTCGGGACTCTGTGCACAGGAGCCCTTATCTTGGCACACAACCATGCTCAACAGTGCTCAGTGCTCAGGCAGAATTTCTTGACAAGCTTCCACGCCCTTGTTGGGCGTAGGAGCCGGCACAAACGATTTGTTTACGTAGCCTTGGCTGAACCAGGCTGTGACAGTGAACGTGCATGACTTGCCTGCACAACTGTTCAAGAGGAAAAGATCCTTCAAATCTGCAGCTGTGACACAGCAATCAGCACCTTTCACTCAGAGAATTCACAACTGACTTGAATTGCCAGGACAACAAGCCGCAACAAGTAGATGCCGTAAAGTAAGTTCAAGGCCAGACCAGCCGCATCCCTTTTTGGTTTCCTTCAGATCAACAAGCAGAGTGCAACTCTTTTCAAGGTCGCCGTCTGCATAATGGGAAATTTTGGGCAGCAACAACACAGACGGTGATGGCTCGTGCGCTCAAAGGGCCTCCTGTCTCTCCAATGTTTATGTGCTCGCTTATCTTTTTTTTACAACTACAAAGAAAACCGTACATGAAGCCGGGCCAGCTGAAAATCATGTTCCCAAGCATAACTGCTACGTACGTAGCAACCAAAAAACTGTAGAATTATCAAGCAGGAGTCAAGGAAAGGTTCCTAAGCAGGCTCCACCGGGTGAACGCTCAGGTTTCGAAGCGAGGACTTCACACTCAAAATGTGAGAATGTCATACCTGGATCCTCACATACGAGTGGGAAGGTTGTGAATATGCCCTAATGCCCTAGGACTTCGCATATGTGCCATCAAGGGTCGCAGTGTAGCCTGTCATCGCACATGCCCCAGAATCGCACTGTCTTTTCGATCTTTCTCATCGAGATACCTGTCCCCAAGACATGCTAAATCAGCTGATGACGTTTTGGCAAGTTCTCTACTCACAGCCTTTGACAGCAGGACAGTGGGATTCGCATTCATCTCTGCGCAAGGAAGCCATGTTTGCAAGAAACCATGAGAGTCCTTACTGAGAAATGTTGTATGCAAGGCCAGGTGCAATCGCCCGGGTTCTCGACCACCTGGTGGTAGCCTCAGCATGCGCTTTCATAAGCTCTTCGCGACGGACCTCGCGCAGTTTGGATCCCATATAATCTACTGTCAATAGTTTCCATCTAACTATTGGACGTGGGTTCCAATTAGTAATTATTCAGGACTACACTGGACTATCAAAGGTTCCATCATGCCAACCAGTAATGGTCCCTTGCTAAGCCTACTCCCGACAGTGGCTCGCACAACACCCAAGATATTAAGATAGATTTCGACATGCAATAACTCTACGGCATACGTTGTGCAGAAAATGTTGAACATAGATATGATCCCACATACTCCCTGTCTTCAATGCTGCTTCAACCTGTGCATCTGGCCGAACGCACGTGCGATGACGCCCTCCACATTGGACCCAGCTGCCTTCCAAGCCGCAAGGACATGGACATGTCGAGCAAGGCAAGTGCTGCCCTACACAATCCTGTATAGGGAACCCCATAGCCATATCCCCCTGTCCCCAAAGGATACCCCTACTTTTGGACCCTAAACCCTAAACCCCTTTCTTTCTAGCCCTCCTTGGCACCCTCGCTGGCCTTGGGGATGTGGACAAAGGCCAAGCAGGACTTCCTAGGTCCCCAAGTGGGGGCTTGCGAAAATCAGGGGTACTCTTTTTGGGGGATATAGGGGTTGTAAAGGAGTAGATAGGGATATATAAGGATTTGTAGCGTTTAGGGTTTCCCAAAATCAGGGGTGCCATTTTGGGCATCCCATAGTACGGATTATAGTTTATAGAATTGATTTTGGGGTCCCCCTGTTTGATAACGTTTTCCGGAAATGTTTGTTTTGGACGGAAACTATGATTTTCCGGAAAGCTTTGTTTATAGGCGCAAACTAAGGTTTTTCTGGAAACGCTAATTTTCCAGGTTTAACAACCTTTCCGTTCAAAGTTAATTTGTTTCTTCTCAGGGTGGAAGCCCGAAACGTTCCAGGGCCTGGAACAAACTAACTCGGAAACTTTGGAAATGTTTGTTTCATTGGCAGAAACTAAGGTTTTCCGGAAACATTGGTTTTTGGGCAGACACTATTTGCGGAAACGTTTGTTTCTGGACAGAAACTAAGTTTTCCGGAAACCTTTGTTTACAGTGGCAAACTAACGTTTCCCACAAAAGTTAAACTCTGACCAAATAGTAAAGATTCGCAAGGTTTCCGGGAAACGTTTGTTTCTTGCTAACAAGCAAAACAAACTTGCGCCCACCCCTTGTGCCCTGCTTAGGGAAACTACCACATAGCCATGGCTTGTAAAGGCATTACTAGCCCTTTGAATCTGGGCCTTTTGCAAACCTTGCCACGACAACGCAGGATCCTGCGCAAATGGCCATTCCCAATCTAAACTCCTAGTATCCCCCTGAGTAACCCCTATAATAGATATGGACCATGCATCTCTATAGAGGGATGCGATCGACTCTTGAGACGTTTCAAAGGCGCAGTGGCGCAGTTGTTCCTCAACATTTGCCACCCCTGTTCAATCCACCAGTCCCCCACCCCCATGCAACAACACCCACTTTCCATCTCATTGTCCATTTGATTCTCCACTACCTCAGCCCGAAACCCCAAATAACCGGTATAACCGCTCTGCGCCCCAGCTTCAAAGGAGCATCTTCGCCCGGAGCAGGTGCGGGTGCAGGAGCCTCTGGCACCACAGCTGGGGGCTCTGCCGCTTGCGGCGCCGCGGGTGGAGCTGGTGCAGGTGCAGCAGGCGCTGGCGCTATGGCTTGGGGCGCTGAGCTGACCTTGTCTAATGTTGGACAAATTACACAAGAACTGCTGGCACAAAGGTTTGTCATACGCTCGCTGAAGCTTCGCGCTCAATTACGTTGGCTCCCCTTCTTACACACGAAATCTAAAAAATCTTGTCTTACCTCGACAGGTCTGATCTGATTATTCTGAGCATAACGAAGGCAAGCGGCTGTTCCAGTTGTGACCTTGGCGTCGTCGGGCGTGCGGGCCTGACCGGAGTCTGAAACTGTCTTTGCTGCTCTACTGCCTGGGGGTCTCTAATTTGGGGTGTTCACGTGGCCCTGCTTTTGAAACGTCTCGAAATTTGCAAGAGCGAAAGAAATCAAAATAGACAGACTTCTGCCAATAGCAATACTGACCATCGAGGTGTTGCAGGTGTTGCAGACAGCTGCAGCTGAAGCGAGGGTTGGGGAGTGGATCCTATAATAGTCCTTATATAGAAATTCCCATACATTACCCCTATAATGCTACTTACATAATTCCCATATTATAACAGTCCTTATATAATTCCTGTATTTGGCCCTATGATGGTACTTATATGGTAGTTTCCCAAAAATAAGGGGACCCCAATATATACCCAAATATACTATAGACCTTATTGTAGGGACCCCCAAAAAGGTACCCCTAATCTAGGGAAACTGCCATATTCGCTCCCCCACCAGTAGAGCTCCTGAAGATCCAAGGTTGCAGCTGCAAGCTGTGAGGGGCTGCCTCAGAGCGCTGCAAGGATTGTACATCTACTGAATACTTGGAGGATCTTGGAGGGTTATAATGGGACTATATGGGGTTATATTGGCGTTATATACTGGGATAATGGAAAAGAAAATGGATACTACTATAATGGGTTGTATAATAAAAGTAATTAGTCATAATAGTTATCGTAATAGTAATAGAACTCGTAATTCACAGTGGCCTCAGTACACCGGAAAAACTACTAATCTAGATCCCACCTGCAAAGCATGTCTGCCTTTGGCCAAGGCAGAGCACCCCAACCTACTGAGCCAGCTTGGGCGCCCGGGTCTGCTGCGGTCTGCTTGCAAGTGAGAGGCCGTAGAACCTAGAGGTGCGTTCCAGGATGACCTGCGCAGAACTTCGCCACAAGCTTGACATGGAATACCCTGCCCGCAACTCGGATGGCACACGCCGCGGCTTCTTGTCAGCAACCTTTCTTTCCCGTTGTCTTGTAGGCTCTGGAATGCTAAGGGCAGGGCGCCGGCCCAAGTTTTTGACCGCACGCCCATGGATGCCTGCCGCTGTTGAGGGCATGATTAATTTGTGCAAGGCCGGCAGGTGCTTCAGATTGATTAGGCCTGGGAGCTACGCAAATCTGTTGATGTAATTGCAGTTTGCAGTCCTCGGACAGAAGCAGCGCTCCCCCGATCAGCACCAGCGAGCCGCAAACCACGACTCGTGTTCGAAGGGACCCTCCAGCCTCAAGCAAAGCACTCTGCCAGGTCAACTCCTGCAGCTCCCTGCGCGACAAGTTGGTAAGGCAACTTTTCGCAATGGCAGCTTCTGCAGCGCGAAGTCGAGCAGATATGTTCTGCAGGCTAGGCACTGGTCTGTACAGCATGGGCCTAGGAGCCAGTTGCCCAAGCATCCCGGAACGACCGCTTGGTTCATGCTGGGTCGCCGGGACAAGGCACGACAACATCCTGATGTAATGTTACTATGTTGGGAGGTCCAGTCAGATTCTGCAAGAGCAGCTGGCTGCTTCTTTTTGCAGTGCCCTCTGCTTGGACAACTTTGTTGTCTCTATGTGACGAGCGGCATTTAGCACATGCACCGGCAGTTGTACATCTGCTGGTGCCTGCTTGATGCAAAGCATGAGGATGTGTCAGCAACGTAAGGGCGCCTTTTCTGGCAATGCGCACGTCTCATGATGATACATTCTGCTTGATAGCCCTTAGTTTCAGGTGTTGCCAACCATGGCATGCTTCCGGACAAGCTATGTATCAAGCTTCTCGAGGATTCCAAAAAAAACAAACAGAGGTGGATCGTTAGCTCAGTGCTGAATTCACGCCTCAGTTTGACAAGTAGCCCTCAATCGCAACAGGTCGATTGTAGACGGCAAAATATGGCATGGATCGAACTACTGAAACACAACGTAAGCACATTGAAGCGCAGCCAAGGACACGGAAGCACACCAACGGCGCATGGTCCACGGAGCCATCAGGTGTGCCGCCAATGCTGATCAAGTCATTCTGCAAAACTGGCGCCTTGCCTTCTATGATGTTGCCATTCAGCTCCGTTGCAGCGTGTGCATCTAGCAGCAACATTGGCCCATCACTGAGGTGGGCCATGGAGATCCGAAAATGAAGGGGCAGTATCTTGGCGCGCAGCGCAGGGTCCTTCAACAACGGCTCCCAGAAGTCTGCCGATTGGAAGGAGGAGCCCACGGAGATCTCCGCTTGAGAGAAACTTGCGGCCAGGACGCGGGACGTCTTAGGTAGCTGTTCAAGGTCTGCTCCTTCTGAGCCTCTTGCGGCCACACATTCAAGAGAGAATGGCGGAGGAAGAGCACTAACGGCGACTTTCACAACGTCCGAGTCTTCCTTCACTTTGGGCGGCGACGCAAATGCGGCATTATCAAGCGCCTGGTTCCCAACAGAGCCGAGCAAACGAGGTGCAGCATCTGCCTTGGGCACGGCATAGGCGGTGCTGACAGGGATGCACTCCAGGCGAAACTGGACTATCGGTGATGCCTTCGGCTGGCCATGCAAAGGGATGGCAATAACATCTCCATTGCTGACTCGGCTCTGCTGTTGCACCATCACGCCATTCAGCAGTGTCCCCGCGATGCTGCGGTTTATTAACATCACACCATCCTCTGCGGGGCAAACGTCGAAATGTTCCCGCGAGATCGCAATTCTGCAAGCTTCATCTGGAACCAGAGTCTGCCAAAATTCCTTTGTCATTGTTTTCTTTGAGGAAAACATACCCTATGCCTATACTTCTCGCTTTTGATATATAGGGCAGCTAACCCACAGAAAAACAGAGCCAGCCACCGGAGGCTGCAGGGCTCGACCAACGCGCACAGCGCCTGTCGGCCCAGCCAACAACTGCTTGTTGAGCACAGTGGGTTCTGCGCCATTCGTACCTCATAGTGTCAGAGCAGCAAACACTACCAAAAGTTGTAGGGGATCGGCGCAATTCGTTTGACTAACTGCAGGAATGTTTCTATAGCCCATGCCCCTGGCATTTTCCTGACCTGACACTCTGCCCTGTCCAACCCTGAAACATCTCAAACCTAACTCTGGGACCTGGGAGAAGCCACCAGAGACATACAGAAGTCTGCACTTTGGCTGTCGCATCCTCCTCGGAAAGGTGCACCTGTTAGGGCGGCTTCTCAAGTCTACAGTGTCTTCTTGGAGTCCATATGGTGGGATGGCAAGTGTTGGCAGTGCGTAAGTAAGACGCCCCCCGGCCATGAACGCCATCATGGGCATGTTGCATCCACTATACCACACGTATACATACTACATATCACTGCCCGGCACTACTAGACAACTTCAACTATAACTACACATACCCCTAAACCCTAAACCCCTAAACCCCTAGACCCCTTCTTATTCTCTTTCGGTCTACTTTAACTAGGCCAGGACCTTGAACTGCAGAGTTGGCTTCATGCCATACTCAGACTCGACCTGACCTATGGAAATGATGTCTCCATCCTTCAGGACAACCTCCAAGGAAGGGCCATGGTTGAGGCAAAATGGAGGTCATTACCTTTATTAGTATTCTTAATCATTTATTATGAAGATTATCATTATACGTACTATTATTGCTATTACCGTTATCTAAAAGGTGGTTCCTCGGGGAGCCTGAAAAGTGTCGGACTACAAAGGCGTTCTGGTACTCTCTGTGAGGGATCGGGAGCAATACTCAATCGGCTAGTATTGGTCCCTCATTGTAGGGGCCTACGGCAGATAGAAGTTTGATTAGGGATCATCGGGGACGCGGCTTATTTCAGTCTCTATTAGGGCTTCGCAATCTGGAGTGCGTAGTGGGGAAATCCAATGAGATATGGTGCTCTCTTAACTTCAGGATATGTGCAGAGTGTAAGTCTAAGCTTGTACACGGACTTTATGGAAGTCCCCAAAGGGGGGTTACTCGGAACCATAGGCCCCTTGTCATTGAATTGTCCTTGTCGGTCCATGCAACGATTCAATGGGGATGGTACATTTTCGGAAGAAATCCGCTAAAATGCCAGCGTGTGCTTTCCATTGCTAGGTCTGAAGAGGTGAACTTCTCGTCAGCCTTTAAAAGCCATGAAGCCTGAAAGACAATAGAAAGGTTTAGGGTTTAGGGTTTAAGGGTTTAGGGTCCCCTGTAGGCAACTGTGGCCTCCTTATCCACTGCAGATCCATTTACGAGCGTGCCCTGAGAGCTGAGATTGCGAAGGACAAGGGCACTGGCGCTGCGAACCACCTGTCAGGCGTCAAGGGTTCCTACTTTTAGCGCAAGTCTCCTCATTTCTACATTGCATGGAAACCTCAACTCCTGAACGCTATTTTTTAACACATTTTCTACGACGCAAAGCAAGAGCCCAAAAAGGTCAGTGGGAATAGAACAAGTCTTTAGGCGCATCAGGCATGCCACACAGACCGGTGTCTGGAACATGGTTGTTAAGGATGAGGACTGTGATGACCCACAAACGGGATAATGGAGGGTTTCTGCAAGGGTCTTTAGCCAGACCCTTGCTTGTAGCAAGGACCTGTTCCATCTGCCTCGTGGCAGAATTAATGGGTTTGCTGTGCATGTTAGATAAACTAAGTTCGCATAGCAACATAGTATGGATGTAATATGTACAAAAATATGTACATGAAACAAATATTCCCTTGTAGTAGTTGTAACTTGGTTCAACCTCATTCACGTTGTAACTTGGCTCAACCTCATTCACGGCAATCCAGACTACAGCCCCGCCTCGAAGTGGATGCGTGAGATGGTGTTCCTTGTGTTTTCGTCTGGGATCAGTTGCTGCCAGACGGCGAATGGCTGCACAGCCCGGCCGACTCGCAAAGGCTCCTCCCAAACAAATGGGCTATAGTCTAAAGGTTTATATAGGGGATTCTATGCAAGGGACTATTATAGGGCTTATTAAGGGGGATACTGGGAGTCTAGACTATAGCTCAAATGAGCACTAGAAAAATTGAAGCCAGTGCGTAGTTCCAAGGGAAAAACGAATGATAGCAGTATCGATACTGGTTGTAGTGATGTCTAGCAGTAGTAACGATCATACTCATGGTAAGAGTAAGGATATTGTAATCGTAGCGATAGTTATTCTACAACGAAATGTAACGCTAACAATAACCAGTCATAACCAATATCATTTCACTAACATGTGTAGCAAGCAAACTGCCCACGATCAGTGATGGGCCCTGCGCACCTGTGTGAGCTCAATCTCCATTGGCGCATTGTTGATACAAATAAGCCGCGAACCAGCCGCCATGGCGACCATGCAGTTCGGCTTCCCCTTTATTTTTCAGCTAATGCTTTTTTGGGTAGCCTTGGTATGCCTGGGTTAGTTGCAAGGTTGAAGTGCTAAGGTTAGTTGTGGTAGAAGCTGTTGAAACTCAACTGACTGTGATGTTTGTGCGCCTGGGCATACAAGGGTTTCCAAGTAGCCTTCAAGTTGACCCGTGCCATGGTTCATCTACGGCTCCTGCTGGCCGAATAATTCTGGGAGCGAATACACTTCATATGCATGCCTTCGGAGGCAAGTGTTGCAATGCTGTGGATCTTCCTGGGCCTAGGCAACCGCCCCACCCTACAGCAAAGAAGGGTTCAGAATCTTGCGCTACTTGCAATGTCAATTTGCTGATGGCACAACCTGTTAAGCTAAACAGAAATGGCTATCAGCGCAATGAAGGATTGTGCCATTGTCATCAAACATTCATACCCCGCAAACACAAAAATGTACTCCATATTGAAGACTACACCATGAGCAATCCGAGCTCTTCAAATAAAGAGGGTAACCCCCCAAAAAAGAGAAAGACATATTTATATAACAATCAAACGGCAAAGCCCGTAGAATACGAAATAATGTTCCTAGACAGAACAAGGTTTGGACTCCTTGGACTTCAACGTTGAAATTAGACCACCTGAAAGCTGAACCTTCTTTTTGGCTGCATTTTTCCTTCTATTCTGTGACCACTATATCGGCCGAATCTGGCTCAAAAAAAGACTTTCAATCAAGGGACTTTGTTTATGCGCAGCTCAGACTATATTCATCATTGCATCTCGAAATCACCCCGTCCGGACTCAGGATGGAACGTTGGTATCTACTTGTCTGGGCTTCCGTGATCGAGCACCTTCTCGGCGCTGGTGCCTGCGCTTCTGACTGCCGGGAGGCGTTTTGCAGCTTTCCAGCAATGGCCCTGCTTTTAGGGTAGTCCACATAATAAGAATTGAAATCTTTGGGGGTGCATAAGGGTGCGAACTGTCAAGAACTGATTTGCTACTGGCCCTGCTTTAGACTTGCTTGCATCTGACGGATTCCAGGTTTCAGGCTCCCCGTCCCCAAAGCCTCGACCGCGCATCTGATGCCATCTTTGCAGCAACCTACCAGACCACCATCGCCACCACGAAGCGAGCGGTGCGTCCCATTGCAAGGGTATTATTACTGTCTTCTTACTCTTTGGCTGTCAGAGGGCAATTCCTACATGCTCACAGAACGCAAAAAATCCTGTCGTCTTTTGGCATTAGAGGCCGCTTGCAAGAAAGAGCGAAGCTTTTAATGCAATAGCCAGCCTAGACTTGTGCGTTGCAAGATTCAGATCAGAGCTGCAATCCAGCAGGCCGGCGCAACATAGATTTGCACAGCAGGGACACCATGGTTGTCTTCGCGTTGAAGGCTCATGAAACCATGGTAAGGGCAGGCAAGCTAGCCATGCAAGCTGCTCTCGTGCCGGTGGGTATGGGCTCTACTCGGCCGTGTCGCGAAAAAGGATGCTGCCACGGTTCGGTACTCAACTGGGGCCTGCCAGAAGGTGAAGAGGCCAAGCGGAAGAACGACCTCGTCTATTCTGAGCTTCTCAAAACAAGTACGTTCGGATTACTACAGGGTGAGGGGCCCACCTGAGGGGTGCAGCAGCCATTAACATTCGAACGTCATTAGTCTAGCTATAGCATCCAATAACGTTCCCAGGCCCAATCTCCTGCGACTCTGAAACAACATGCATATGGACCTTTGAGGGCCAGGGGCGCTATTAAGCTTCTCAAAGCCGAAATTCGTGGCTGAGTCCCCAAGAATTCCTGGAGCTGCCTGTGCCTTTCAGAGGAACCTTTCCCAAACTCATGATCTCAGCTCATAAGGATTGAAAAAGGTAACGCCAGGAAAATTTTAGCTGCAGTGACAGTCATCTCAGTTGCCAACCAGCACAGACGCATCGGATGCAGCCTTACGCGCAAGATAGGAAGGGCGTTTTAATCCACAGTGTCGCAAGTTCATCATGTAACCACAGGTGTTCTAAGCAAGGATCCCGTTTCGTCATTCAGGCTCCTGCATTACTCCAAGCATTAACTCCAGCTGACCTAGCCAGGCCTTCATTGTAGGCGCTGAAAGCGCGACCGACCGGAGAATCCTGCGGGCATGCATCGCCACGTCAGGATCCGACATTGCCTTCTCCAACTGTTTTTCCCCTTTAACAGTTGGAATACGGTAGTGTCCACAGTCAAGACAACAGGTTGCGCCAGAAGGCATACACCTCGCAACAAAGAATGTGCTTCCTAAAATGCGCCCCACTATAGACCGGGAGTGGGGTCCTACAGACACTGGTTTTAATTATTCATGCTGTAGGTAGGAATGACAGAAATGAACTACCTAATAGGGTCATATGATGATTATCTTTCTTGTACCGTTTGAGGGTTTGGTGCTACCATGTGCTACCTAAAATCCTCTGATTAACAGCCCCATGCCTTTCACCCGAAATGCCTGGAGCAATGTCCGAGGCGGCCTGAGTCGCGCGTCCATGTCTAATCGCGGGCAGAGGCGTGAGAGCTGCACCTCTGCATGGCAACAGGATGTACAAGAGTTAGCACCGTTTCTGTACTATAACTTTATGTCTAGGGCTTTGGGTTAATTGTTTAGTAGAGGGCTTAGGGTGCTGGGGGTCGTTTGTGTGGGGCTGGGGTTTCACAATGCTGGCTATATGGGCTCCTTTGCCTTTGCGTGGTCATCTGCTAAAGAACAACCCAAACACTTTTGGCTGGGACAAGGAAAACCTTCACCGGAAATTCAGACAGGGCCTCTGGCAACTCGTCTTGGGTACGTAAGGGGTTCCGCGCAAAGCAGCAGATTGGCTCTTGGCAAAGAAGTAGCACGCAACTACCTGCAATAAGAGATATGGCAGATGCGAATTGGCATGGTGACAGTCGCTCTGCCAGACTGGCTCAAAGTAATTAAACACTAAAGTCATCGTTTTACGAATTTCTGCTTTGCTCTGACTCTGCGTGCCTGCCGCAGAGCACTCAGCCTCAGCAAGCAAATTGCCCGTGGATATTATATATTGGGGTTCTATTGGGATAATGGAAAAGAAAATGGAAACTACTATGTTATAATAGGGTATATGAGGCTTCAGAGGCTCAAGTTCACGGATATCTGAACACTTGATAGGCTACTTTGGTCTTGGCGGGAATAGGTCCTCTGCGTGAACAAATGCTCTAGACTCAGCCGGAAGCCAGCTGCGCCACTCACGTGTCAACTCGCCGTCAACCTGTTCATGCCGGTTAGTCATGTGGGTTCCCTCCAGGCCAGTGGGCCCTGTACTTGGGCTTCAATGAATTCTGGCAACTCCTGCGTGGTGAAGATGTAATCAGGCCTCCAGATTATGATTCCTATCTCATAGCAGGTGGGATCTTCTGTTGGAGTTGGCAGAAGAAAAGCACCACTATGCCATACGAAGCCGTAAACGATAAAAAAAACATGTGCCATTGTCTATTGCCAATTGCTTGCAGATTCCACATGCGCAGATAGTCTGTAGGAGAATCCTCTAGTCAATATAACTTAGTTTGTATACTGAATGCGTGGGACTATTGAATATGGGAAATGAGTACACGCAGGGATTTTTCACAGGGATTTTTCCATTGTACCCTTAGGGTTCGTACCTTTGGGTCTGGATCCTAAAGCCAGGGAGTATAGCCCTGAATTAGGGTGCTTGGGACCCCAAACCCAAAGGTAACAAACCTCAAGGTCATAGCCGTAAAGCCTTTGCGATACTGGGGTTCCATATGGTTATATAGGGGTTGTAGGAATAATTGCCCAAATCATGTTCCTACCTTCCTTGTACAGGTATTTGTTGCGGCTTGAAAACCCTTAACCTTCAACATGGCCCCCACCCTAAACCCTAAACGCTAAAGTGGACTATAGTTTTGACAACCCCACAAGTAGGTTTAGGGTTTGCGCCTCCTGAGTAACGCTGAGGGAACGCTGGAGCATCTGAGACCTTGATCCAGGGGTTTAGGGTAGGATTTAGCTGTAGCTACGCCCCTAAACCCTAAACTCTGTTTACAGCTTTGGCCCTGTTTTGATTTGGCTTGTAGGTGCTGGTCTGAGGTTTTGGGGGGCGGGTGCAGCAGCCCGAGGATGGGAGGCTAACAACTTGAGGAATAATGAAGGGCCTTTCTTTTGATAGAAACAATGCTCCCCATTTAGTAGTTTCCCAAAATAAGGGGACCCCAATATAGACCCCATTCTACTATAATCCTTATTATGGGGAGCCCCAAAAAGGTACCCATAATTTAGGGAAACGCCCATTGTAATCAAGGCGCGGACTCAGTACGACTCATTGCCTAGATCAGGTAGTGTGGGGTTTATCTAATCCGGATACGCCAGCAAAGAGCATGATGGGGAACTTAATTGACAGCAGTTCTAGCCCTTATTCAGATAGACTTGCGTCCCGGCCCCTGCCGCACCTTCACCTGACCCCCTGCCACCTTTAAAAGAGGAGCTACTTAGTAAGTAGGTTAATACTGGGGATAAGTGGAATTACTATATGGCTTATAGGCGTTATTAACCTACTTACCAAGTCCCCCTGACCCTCCAAGTAGTTATCATGCAAGCCCAAGTCCTGGATGATCAACGGTCTGATATGTTGAGATAAGATCTCACAGCGGTAAGATATCCACCCAGGGCTGCACATGAGGGTTGTTCTCAAAATTATGGATTCTTCTGAATATAGGTTATATTACGGCACCTAATGTTTAGGGATACCAAAATGGGACCCTTGTTTTGAAAACTCCCCATGAAGTGAAGTAAGCCAAGCTAGAACCACGAAGCTCAGGCGGCTACCAGGCCTGCTTCAAGGACCGCACATCCAGGGCCTGGTCCGGAACCTGAAGCTTCAGAGTTTGGGTTAGGATTTAGGTTGGGGTTTTGGGTGAAGGGTTTAGGTTAGGATTTCGGAGTTTGGGTTAGGATTTAGTTTGGGGTTTTGGGTGAAGGGTTTAGGTTAGGATTTCAGAGTTTGGGTTAGGATTTAGGTTGGGATTTAGACACGCGCATCGCACAGAGTGCAGGCACGGCAACGAATGTCCAGGTGAGCACAATCCCTGCTTTGAGGGCTACAGGAAAACACTCCGCAGCAAGACGTTAGTGTTCACTACTTCACTCGCTACTTCAGTCGCTTTCCAAGAACATTAGCTACAGTAGCAACGGCTCAGGAGAAGGTTCAGTCAACACATGCAAGTCAGGCCCACTCAGGCACACCAATCACTGCTATTCCCTTGCTCACTTTGGGATTTAGGGTGAAGGGTTTAGGCTGGTTTTAGAAGTGGGGCTAGGATTTAGGTTGGGTTTAGGGTTAAGGGTCTAGGTTAGGGTTTTAAAGTTTGGGTCTGTCTTTAGGTTGGGGTTTAGGGTTTAAGGTTAGGATTCAGGCTGTAGGTGTGGCAAGAAGTGCAGCTTGTAGCCCTTCCTACCCCTTGGAGCGTCGGAAGGGTCCTTCCAGGGGCATGATGGCAAACTGTTAGCCCTGTTAAGAGTCCTGAATATGGACCCCCCATACTCCCCTTGCAGTCCCCTCATAACCTCCCCGTAAGAATCCAAGTAACACTGTGCATGGAAGGCATCTTAGGCCAGCTCCTTCCTCCAAGCAGCGGCGCAGCTTGCCACCAGGTGCCTGGCCTGGCATGATTTTGACAGAAAATGAGGGGTCCCAACTCCTTGGGGCACATAACAGAGGCAGGCTCGATGATATCTGCGGCGTACATGAGGGGACCCCCATTGTTGGAAATGATCAGTTGCAAGCCGTGCGTTTCCTTTGCTACCGTCACATTTAGGCATGGTGAATGGCATAGTGCCCAAGAAGAACAGCTGACAAGCAACCTGTAGCCTTGTCGTCACGACTATACTCCGCGCGAATACAAATGCAGAACCAGAAGAGTGCGGCAGTCCCTCTGAGAATTGGGGAGCTTCAAAGGTTCAAGCTTTGCTGCTTCCTGGCCAGATCGCTCAAGAAGAGCGAATTCAGCCCAAAGACCATCTGTTTCAGGCATGAATCGCTAGGACGGTAGGCTGGCCTGGTCCAAGGCTGCCGTGCTGGATGATTCCTTGTTGCAAGCAAGACCTCTTTACAATATAGTAATATGGTAGTTTCCATTTTCTTTTCCATTATCCCAATATAACCCCATATAATCCCGTATATGGGCGCAAAGCTTTCCCAGGGGAACATGCGCACTCGTATTCGCTCTGTTTATCCGGCGCTGTTGCTGCTTGTCAGAGAGTCGTCGCTGCCGGACTCTACGCTATCGCCGCAGCAGTCCAGCGTCTGCGCAGCAACCTTGCTTGTGCTCGAGAGCTTTTTGACGGCCGGTCTACGCTAGCAAACGTGTAGACATGTTCGTGCAAACAAATGTTATTGGTTCTCTCCTAAGGCGAAAGATGACGGAAGTGGCTCTCAAGTACCCAGCTACTTCCTGCGGCAGCATGGGCTTTCCTTGACGACGTCTTGCCTTGGCAGGTGGGCCATGAACAAATGGGCTCATTTAACGATTACTCGTCTTTCTATCCGTTTCCCGCAGAGTAGAAACGCGGTTGGGTACGGTAGGGCTATGACAGGACTGTGGTAGGGAACTGGAGAATACTGAGGGCCTTCATAATGTTGCCCCCCCAAAAAAACTGCCCTACGTGAAGGACCAAAAGAACCATCATCCACTTGGTGCGATGTACAGAAAGCAGAGAGTTCATGTTCTGCGGGGTATGTACCCTAGAACGGCAACATGTCCCAAGTCTGCGCTTATTGCAGTAGCGTGTCCGAGACCTATCCATAGATTAATTGAACAGGTTCTTCAATCGGTTTCACAGAGGATTCCATTGTACGTCAGCATGGTCTGCATGGCTCTGATAACAATACTTTCCGAATCATTTGTGGAGACTCCAGCCTCTTGCAGGCATTTCTTGGCTCAGCTCAACACTTCGTTTGAAGAGCTTAGATTAAGTGCTAGAAGAATGAGGCAAATGTGAGTTGCTCGTTTTCCGCACACCTTGTGGTTTGAGACTCTTTCTGCTTCAGAGCTGCAATGGCGTAGTAGGCAACGAGCGAAATGAAGCCAGCCACCACGAGAGAGGCAGCCAGAACACCCACAATAAAGACAACCACAGTTAGGATGCCTAGACGTCTGGATTGGGTGCCAAGAGTTTCGCGGTTGGGGCTTAGAAGCTCTCTGATTCTCTGCGTTAATGTACCTGCCATCATGTGGGATGCCAATTTTCTCCGGCTGGAGTGCTTGTAAAGGTGAACCGCACTCTGCATTGGCGATCGTCATGAGGGCAACATGCCGAAGATCGCCTGCCTAGTATCAGGAGATACCCATCTAGCGCAGCATGCGTTGTCCTATGTCACATACTTACAGCCAGAGCGCAAGCAGTAAGTAGGCTTGCTTGGGACGCCAACGTTGGTTTTCAACTCACGTCAAACGGAAAACACTGCGCGTAACAGCAGTGCAAAGTAGTAGTGCAGTGTTACTGCATGCCAAGTTACCTGTCATTGCATGTTCAAACGCGCTTCGGACTTGACCTCAGCCGTTCACATACCTTCCTGGGAAAACATGCTTCATCAGTTTTCCCAGCTGCGTGTATTTGAAGATCTATGGTTCAAGGTCTGTTTTCCATGGTAGAGTTCTACAGGTTAAGATTTGGAGTCAGGGGCATTCTCAAACCTAGCTGCTAGCTTTCCTGGCCCAATGAAGGTTGACCTTTTGAAATATGGCAGGCTTATGTGCATCCTAGAAGGTTAAGGGTTGCCCACTCAGCTACTAAGCCATCGCCAAGAAGCTGCAACATCCTCCAGAGCAGCCATCGCAAGCCAAAGTCCATGCTGCCTCCCGTGACCCAGCACTCATACAGACGTGAGCAGTTACGTGACAGCGGAATAGACAGCAGGAAGTCTTTGTCAAACTTAGTCCGCCTGCCAAAACGCACAAGCCTGGCGAAGGTACAAGGGGTGGGACCGTTGACGCACAACTCAGGCCCTCCACAAGTTCAAGCGCAGGAAGCATGGCGTGCCGAAAGACATTTACAGTTGCAAATGCAGGGGCTGCTAGTAATCTTGAATCATGTTGAGTCCTACCTGTATAGCGCAAGCCGTCTGATGGACGCAGGCCACTATTCACTTGCAACAAAAGTAAAATTTCTCCTCCCTGAGACTCCCACTTCCCACGTATGACTACTAGACGGCATTTGTCCGTCATGTGATCCCCATGGTCAATGGCCGGGGCCGGCAGAAGCAGACTTGCCACACATGCAAGGATGCCTTTACGATTGCTACGGCCAAGGCCAACAATCCAGCAGAGAAGGCCGCCAGCCAGCCAGCGGCAGAGCTAATGCCGTACTGGTTCCTGGGCTGTAGGATGAAACTGAAGTTGTGCAAAACAAAATCCCAGGAATGGTGGGTGCGAATTCACAGAGGAGCTTTAAGGGTTTTGTTGATTACGAAGCAGGTTCCCAAAGTCTGGTAGACCCTTCTGAGACAGGCCCATGAGATACTTGAAGAGACTTGGACTTGCAAACCTTAACCGACCTATACCTCAAAGCAAAACTCGAATGATATGCTAGTTTGTCACGCTGCCATCCCTTTGTTCGAGTGCTCCCTAAGCCTTGGAGGTCTTACTAAACAGGTCATGCATCCCATAGCTCGGTGTCAAAGCCATGGAGAACCCAATGACCGGCTTTGCCACCAGCATGAAGCAGTCTTGGCATGAAGCCAGGGCAGGTATGCAGTCGGACACCAGCTCCAAGATAAGCAGGAAGCTGAGTATGCCAATACAAACCCAGCTGTCCAACCAGGTGTCTTCCAAATGCAGAGGGAATCTTTCGCTCAGCTTGGAGCCTCAGCTGGCAACAAAAAGAACAACACATTGTGTGAAGGCATTATTAAGTCCGCAAGGCGTTTTGAAAATCCAGTCAGTGCCTTCAAGGGAAAGAGGCCCTACAACACAAACACACGCACACACATGCGACTGTCAGGTCTGTGCTCAGGCAAGTGGCCGATCGACACGAGCAGCATGGGAATGGCAGCCTTGACGCCGGTTAAGCCTATCGCTGCGGGAAGCGACTGTTGAAACCTTCATTCCTCTTAAGCCCTCATCGCCTGCTAAAAGTTTGACTCAGCACATGTTTTGCAAATCGATCGAGGGCCTCCAAGCGACAAGCTGATAACGTAGTTGCTCAAAGCGCAGAGCGTTTGCGAGCCAGTGCATGTCACATTGGCATTCTGCAGGGTTTGCAGAGTCTCCTCCATTGTTGCTAGCTGCAGCTGTTCAGTCGGATGAAAGGCGAGTTGTCTAGGAGGCAGGTGCTGTTGTAGAGTTCTGCTGCGAGGTCGGATCTCTCTTCAATGCTGATGAAAACACTTATTGGGTCGTGTGTTGTGTGGAACACTTTTCTGGTCAGTATTGTTCTTCCCTGTTCCACTTGCGTTAATTCCATACATTGTGGCTGCTGTCCACCTTGCACTCTGGTGTTGCAGCCTGAAAGCACAACGGCTTCGCGAACATAAAGTTGCCAGCCCGTGGACAAAAGGAAGGAATCGGGAAAAGATGAAAGGGAAGGAGTGAGGGAGGGAGCACATTCAAGAACTCGTGCGAACATTCGATCTGAAGTGGAGCGGCCACTTGTAGCATGTGCAACTGGCTCCACACAGGGGCCCTCCGAGATCCCAGGGCGTATGGGGAACTACGACGAAGGGACTGTCTTGGTCCGTGCTTCTCCTTTTCCTGTTACCCCATAACTAACGGACCCAACACTCAAACCCCTACATCCTCAGCACAAAAACCCCTAAACCCGTAAGACTTTGCGGATTCTCCAAGCGCCGCACAGTCCAACCAGCTTTTTGAATCGATTGATCAGTCAGCGGGACCAAGACCTGCAAGCTTGCGAATGAGAACCTACCTAGGCTATAAGGATAACATGTGACGTGGGGGGGCCCTCAAAAAAGGAGGTCCTTACGTAAGGGCTCCACGGGTATGTAGGTCTGTTATACAGGGATAGTTGGGGTCTTTCTTTAGTATTTCGTAGGATCGTTTTGACCTCGTATGGGCGTACTTAGGATTACGTGGAGAAACCCTAGGGATTGTTGGGGGTAAAGACATTTCTTTAGCCCATGCTGGCGTAACAAAGGGGGCTATACAAGGGAAAATATCAAGGACTACTAAGGGTTATGAAGGAGGATACTAGGAGTTTCGACTATGGTAATACAATACTTTTGATACTTGCTTCTGAGAGGTGTAAACAGTCTGAAGTTTCTCTATGGGAAGTCCAGGTTCATGCCGGTTCCGATGCTGCTACTCCCACCAAGACACCCACATCAGCATGCATGAAAACTCTTTAGGATTCTTTAGGATAAGATGGCCCTGTTACTTTCCAAGGGTCGGGCTACAGGTGCTCCTCTCTGATTCAACGACCCGAGGGAAGGCGCCACAGTGACACAGAACCTCAGAGTAGACCTGCAAACGTTGCTGTTCAAGCGTTCGCACAGTGTGTAAGGCTTCGGTGCCCCTCCTGTCTGCTACGCACGAAACACAGTGTCGGCCCTTGCTCGAAATTTGCGTGTGAAAATCTACTGCAACATTTGTTGCTGTGTTCCTGATTCCTAGCTTCGATCGTTCTTTGCTATGGATGATACCAGCACGGTCCTTGACAAACCCCCTTTCGCTCTCTCACGAAACCTTGGGTTCGTCGACTGCCGTCCATACTTGGAGGTTCACTCGATCATAAGCCCCCTAAGTTATCCTTTTGTTATAAGTACCAATTATAATTGGGTCGTACTTGCTCTGATCCCTGGGCTCTAGGAGCTAGGCCCTCCTCGTCTCAGACCATGTGGGGGAATAATGTGAAGCTTGAACAGTTTAGGAGGATCATCTTACAACAAAACCATGCACAAGTTGAGCAGGATCTACCTGGTGAATCTACCCTAAACCTCCTGAAGCCCTGAGCCCTGAACCCTAACCCCCTGCAACCCTACACCCGTTTTTGTATACGTAGCACTTTCAGTCAGACCTCGCCCTGCCTGCCAATCCTTTCCCAGACAGGTCTGTTTGCGTGCCGCCAGATTGAACCCCTAGCTCCCAAGCAGCAAATTGCCACTTTGAACCCTTAGAGCCCTTCTGCCCTGATGCCCAAAACATATATTCCCTAGACCTGTACTTCCTCACCCCTGAAACCCTAAGCCTTGCTATCCCTCAACCTCCCCCAACCCTAAACCCTAAACCCTCTCTCCCCTAAACCCTAAACCCCTAAACCCCTAAACCCAAAGCCCTCGGCCTCCTTCAGATAGCGCTCCCGGCGCCTCCGAAGGCCTTTCTGGCTTTGTAGCCGCTCCGCCAGCTTCAGGCCTTCAGGCTAATGTAGTCCCCTTTTTGGGATAAGGGTTTCAAGGGATAATGGAAAACAACATGGAAACTATAGGGATAATTATGGGGTTTCAAGGGATAGTGTAAGATAAAAAGGAAACTATAGTGATTATAGGGTTTCAAGGGACTAGGGTTTCAAGGGATTAGGGTTTGGGTTTAGGGTTTAGGGCTCACACAATACAGGGATATATAGGCTACATTATGGGCTTCCAGGTGCGCGTAACTCTCTGTGACAAGGCCTACAGGCCGCGATGTTCTAATCAACCTCATCCGCCATCAAAGCAGAACCACCGGCATTCCTTCTTGGGCGACCAGAACTCACAGGTTAGGACTGCTTGTTAAGGGCTATAGGACGGATGCTTGAAGAGCAGCCGTTTGCTGGAACCGTCTCCCAACGACCATCTATTACATCTCCTGACTACTTTACAGACTCCTACTATGAGATTCGGCCCCTTGAAGCAAGAGATGCGAGATTTAGGTCTGTGGAGCTTGGAACGGCGGTTCAGATGTCAGATCTTCAGGCTTCGAACTTCGAAGTTTAAAAGGTTCATGAAAGGTACCAATTGCCTCAGCTTCCATGAGCCTCCAAGATCTGGAAGCGAATAGGGCAGTCCGCTAAGTGCTACCCAATGATCACTAAACCCTAGGTGATCCCCTGTCCCTAAACCCTTAACCCTATCTAACTCCCTATAACAAACCCTTTAAGGAGTACCCTAGGAAACATGCCCAGCCTGTGCTGGCATTTCGTAATTCCAGTTATCTCAACAATCATTGGGCTTCAAGGCCAGGGCTGCATGAGGCAGTGGTTTCCGAAAATTAGGGGTAACTCTTTGGGGATACCTATAATAAGGAATATAATGGAATATAGTATGTTGGGGTCTATATTATATTGGGGTCCCCCAATTTATGGAAACTACAAGCCTCCTAAGCTTCCGACGTTCTGGGCAAAGCGGCCAAAGCGCATCGGTCTCTAAAGCGGCATCCATGAACCGCAGCCTTTGACAAGGTCTCGCTCTGGGAGCTCAGTGTCTGTCTTGATCTAAGTCCTACAGGATCAGGAACGAACCGCTATAATGTAGTAGTTTCCGTTTTCTCTTCCATTATTATATCACCCTCATATATACCCTATTATAATATAGTAGTTTCCATGCTCTTTCCATTAAGTCTACATGGTATGTGGCAAGGACTCCGCGTGCAGCTGCCTGGAGATCGCCCGTGCGGGCAGTGAGCCCTCTGCGCTCCGCAAGGCCTTGCTAAGGTTTAGAAATTGGGCCTGATGCATAACGGGGAGAGGGTGTGAATATATGTACTGGTTCGGGTGTATAAGAGTGGTATAAGAAGATACTCTGGTAAATTTGTATGCATAAACACCAATGATTTGGCTTGGCTTCCGTGGCAGCTGGCTTCATTTTGCGAGGCACCCCTCGCTGTGATGAGGGCTGAGCTCGGTGGTATGCGTCTGGATCCGCCTCTGCCCGAGGGTGCAATGCAAGTCCCATGCTAGGAATTCCAAAGATGCTTGGTATCGGCGGCCTCCACTGGATGAGCACTTTCTGGCAGAAGGTCCGCGTCCTCCAGAAAAAACGATGACCGTCAAATGCACAAACTAAAACAAGCATTTGTCATTGTGACAGTGGTTAGTATAAGGACAACAATTATAACGAGTGCTGCCCAAGCAGTGGCCCACTGCATGATGAATGGGTCCTCATCACGAAGCCATCGCCAGCCTCGTCTCAGCCCAGCTTCGCTTGTAGGACTAGGTGACACAGCCCTAAACCCTAAACCCTANNAGACCCTAAAACTTTAGACCCTAAACTCTGTGAACTTCCTGTGCCAGTAGGCTCCTGACTAAGCTGCCCAGTTGCCAGCAGGCGCCTCTCGAAGGTAGTCCTGGGCCAGCGGAAGTTCCCACTTGCAAGCTGCGCACAGAGGTCCCTTTTCTAGAGTCACCTGGCAAAGATGCCGCCTGCTAGGGGTTGTATAGGGAAATCACTCTTTCTAATAGCTTTCTCAGAATCACAAGCCCTTCTGTTCTGGTGGACTTTAACACAAGCTTCTGCCATCTTGGATTGCATAAGTCTGTTCCTAGAAATTGGTAATGATACTGGCTGCACGAATGCTCCCCCAATCTACAATATTTCGAGCATGCAGAATCTCCCGGTGCTGTGTGCTTCACCGTGTCGCCACAAATGTCTAGTTGGCGTGGCTACTAGGCTTGTTTGAGTGTTGCTGATGCTAGACTGCGGTGCGTTTAAAGCAGCCCAAACCCTAAACCCTAAATAGTAGTTTCCATTTCATTTTCCCTTATCCCAATATTTCCCCAAAATCTAAATCACCCCTATAATCCCTGTAGCTTCCATTTTTCCATTATCCGACTAGGATCCCAATGTAACCCCAAGGGGGCATACCTGACTGCAGCGTATTGATCGGGCGGCCTGGAAGCTGATCCCAATACCTTCTTGGGGTTATATAGGGATAGTGGAAAAGAAAATGGAAACTAGAGGCATTACAGGGGTTATATGGATTTTGGGGTCATATTGGGGTTATACAAGGATAGTGGAAAATAAGATGGAAACTACTATTTAGGGTTTAGGGTTTATGTAGGGCTTATATATGAAAAGCCGCTCCGAGGTCAGGTCAGAGCACTGTATGCGGAAGCGCGTCCACCTCAGATGAGCCATAGTCTAAACTCCTAGTATCCCCTTAATAACTGCTATAGTACTCCGCTAAATAACCCCTCTGTAAGGAGTTTAGACTACAGCTCAGATAGCTGATGCTGCCACAGCAAGACTTCTAGTCTAGAGCGTGACCTGGCATTCTGTCAAATAGGCCTTCGTGCGGCAGAGCTGCAAGCGATGAACCGCTCGGTCAAGCTTCCCGGGCACACAACTCTCGCCTCAGTCAAACTTGCTTGGCTACACCTTCTTGTTATAGTTAGCGTCGTTATAGCCATTGTTGCGTGTATATAATTGTCACAACTTGTGGTTCGGCGCCTCGACTATCACTCTTGATTGTTCTTGCTGCAACCGTTGTTGCCCTTAGTCCTGTTGCATTGCAACAGAGACCATTGTTGTGCTTCGCAAGGATGTATGCCAGATTTTCTGAGCTTACAGCAGTCTGCTTGGACAGCTTCTTCAGCGCCTGGGGCTCTGAGCTAGGGCAGGGATAGTATAGGGGTGGTAGAAATACTGCATAGGTACGGAAAGGAAGTGGCACAGCTTCTAGGAGGATTGAACAGGCCTCTGTAACGGTGATGCAAGCAATTCTGGGCTTGTGCTGTGCTCTACACTGATTCACTTCAGATTCCACAAGGTGTAATGTGTCCCAGCAATACGGCATGTTCCGATGCTTAGGCGCTTGCTGGACTGAGACCAGAACCAAACAGTGGCACCATCTCTTTCAAACTCTTGTCTATCATAGTATATAGTATATAGTAGTTTCCATTTTCTTTTCCATTATCCCTATATTACCCCAATATCACCCCAATATAGAATTGGCTGTATCCAAGGAGCCGCTCCTTTGGACTTGCCGATCTAATGTAACAACAGCATGCTGCCGCCTTCCTAGCGCGGGCCCCCTTCAGCGTCTTGCCCTGGCCTGTCAGCAGGCACTGGGTAACATGAGGGAGAGAGCCTCAGGATATCAGAGACTGATTGCGACTTCAGCTTACAGCAGCCTAGCTTCGTGCCCAAGGTTGCCCAAGTCTGACACTGGCGACGCCACTTTTTGGTGAGCTTCTGGCTGATCCTAAGTTCTAATGCACAGGACCTCATTGCTAGCTTCTGCGTTTTCGAATTCTTGGATTCATGCAACAGTCTCGCGGCAGCGAGTTTGGCCAACTTCGTTTCACCACACCCGTGATTGCCCTATCGAAAAGGGCCCGCAACCTTTCTTTAAACTCAACACATTCCGGACTACGGTCCGTCATGCATTGTTGGAAGCCAAACTTTCTGCCTAGCTACTCATCGCGCTAGGGTCCTGCTCTTCGCAAGCTTCAAACCAAATTGAAGAGAAGTACTGCGGCGCTTCCTGTGTCAGCGGCAGTTTTGGCACTAACACAGTCGCCTTCAGAATCTGGCCAGATGAAGTCGTCAAGCTCAGACTCTGGGGATAAGCTAGTGGTTGCGCGGGGCCGGTCCAGAATTTCTCATAGAGCTGTGCACCTGGCTCGCTCAACATGTATGCCGTTCCATGAGCGCAGGTCCTTTCCAAGCTCACCTGGGCTCTGAAAGCCAGGGCGACACTCTTAGGATTCCAGGGTAAAAACCATTGAAAAAGGGGATTCTGGGTGGACTAGAATTACTGCCACTGTGGCTGAAAAAGTGCCTGGTATCACTAGAGATCATTGAAAGTACATTTTGAGAGGCTCCCGCCTGATCCAAATATGGCTCCGTGCCGGTGGCCGTCTCTCGCCACTTCATGCACCATCCATGTACAATCGCCTGGGCTGCTGCTGAGGAACTTGAATTCAGGTATTAAAGACACTTATCCACTGCGTACCCATAGTATCGTCTCTCGAATGAAGCTCCTTAACAGCAAGCCAGTTGCGGGGGCAGAAGCTAAAACCGTCTCCGGCGGCACAATCGCCTGCACTGCCTCTTCACTGCCACTGTGGGAGAAGTACCATGCTCCGCTTGAGAGCGTCTCCTGGCCCTGCCGAGTCAAGTGGGCGTCTCAAACAATGGATCCCAGGGCTGTTGAACATGTGGGTGGCTGTCAAAATTATGTTCATTTTTGGGCACCCTGAATATTAGGTGCCGCAATATAATCGGGATCCAAAAAGGGCCCATAATTTTGACAACCACCCATGTGCACTTCAGCTGGGATCCGAAATTTAAAGCCTGCCCAGCTATCGACATAATACCGTTGCTCAGCCTATTCTTGCTTTAAAAGCCCCAAACCATTCCCAGCCTCAGCCCTTTGCACAAAAGAGCTGCAACAAGGCGATGCGGCGCATGCGTCCGGTTCCACAAATTTCACAACCTGCTGGCTGCGGAGAGCACGGAGGGTAATGTATGAGGCTCTCTTTTCAAAGTTTCTTGTTGGTTTTGCCTAAACCCTAAACCCCCTCGGGGGTCTGGGCGGATTGCTGGTCGACTTGCAGTTTTCCCGAGGCCATTAGGTTGATTCATACTTCTATGATGCCACATTAAGTATCCCATCTAGCTGCTAGCTCCTTTAGGTGTCTGCAAGTATTCGGCCCCACCTGATGGCTGCTAAGCTGGGCTCAAAACCAGGTTGGAACCCTTTTGCCCAACTCACCACCTGGCCATGCTGTGTTTCAGCAAGCCTGCTCCCTGACCCTGTTCCCTCAGCCAGCCAAGCACATGCACTGAGGACTGCCCATGCGAAAGCCGTCCGCATCAAGGTGGCGGTATGCTATCGCTGTCAAAGCTTTACAAATATCTGAGCCAGGGAAATGGTGCTGCGCAAGAAATACAGCTTGCAACTTGAGTTACACCCATCAGCAACTCTTACATCTTTTCTGCTACATGCTTGCGCCAGCACAATCGCCTTTAAAGTGACATGACATGGGAGCCCTTTGAAGGACATCAAAATAGGAGGGAAGAGGCAGGACCCAACCGTGCAGGGCAGCATCATGCATGCGCCTGCAGCCTTCTTCAAACGCTTTACCTTCCCAGCCTTCGGATCTTTACTGGACCTTAGCGTCAGTCTGAACCCGATCTTTTGCAGATCCAGATTTCCAGGGACGGAGGCGGGAGCAGGGGGAGAGAAGAAGAGGGAGAGGGGCATGCTTACGTGAGTATTGTTAGCAATACTATCAGGCTTGCTGCCTCTTTTGCCTGTACAGCATGTTTTGCGTCTTTGGAATGGTGCCATGGTCCCGCAAAAAAACTGCTGCTTTCCCAAGTGAATGACCTTGCTTTCTTCACGCCGGTCTTTGTTCGGACCTGTCAGCTTGAGTAGGGTAGCTGAAAGGACCCTCAATATACCTGTCACTACGTCCTATCTTTCTCGGAATGCCCCGTTGACCTGTCAGCGATTGGGGAATCGTTTGCAAGCTTGGCCACTAAGGCTCATCAGGAACCAGCACATGCACGTCTGAATCAAGTAGATATCTTTCAGCAATGGCAAGGCAAGACAACTCCCTAAAATAGACTTGCGTACTCTGAACATGTTTGGATCAGGACTCTCGCCAAAGACGCCGCCACCTCCCAACAGCCCCCTTCTCTTGCGGACAGGCGAGCCTTTCTGACCTTTGTGACGGCAGCAGGCTTTGCTGCCTGGAGTGCAGGTGCAAGGTATATTGTAGTATCTCATATATTTAAATATAATTAGTATAATATAGTATAACATCGTATATTTTAGTACAGTGTGCATTATACCATGATAAGGCCTGAGGCAAAATGATCAAAATGGCCTCAGCAGCCTTAGTTCGGGTGGCGGACGAAGAGGTCCTGTCTGGCTGGCGGCTCTCATAAAAGATAATGGAAAAGAAAATGGAGACTACTATAGCATATTATGAGTTATATAGGGTTAATGGAAAAGAAAATGAAAACTACTACAGTCTGCTAGGGCTGTATAGGGATAATGGAAAACAAAATTGAAACGACTATAATGGGCTATATAGGGTATGTATTGGGGTTCTATAGGGTTTAGGGTTGTGTTGCACACTTGCCTACTTCATGTCGGTTCGCAATACATGGACGAGCCAGTAATCTGCCCAAAGATGGTGTTTTCCCAAAACGAGGGACTCCCAATATGTACCCCAATTTACTAATAATCCTTGTTCTGGGAACACCCAAACAGGACCCCAGATTTTGGTAACCATCATCCCTATAAACCACCATATAAACCCAGTGTCCATGTCATTCTCCATTTTATTTCTTCCATTTGATCCTCCATTATTGAGGGTAGTAACTGTAAAAACCCTAAACCCTAAATAGTAGTTTCCTTTTTCCATCACCCTTATATATCCCCTACATCCCTAAACCCCGAGTTCGGGAAACCTGCATATGCACTGGCTGCTTTCCTGATCCGCTTCTTGCCGGGAGCAGCTTTGGCTCCTGATTCTCGCCCCCGGCCTGTTGGCAGATTTGAGGGTTTCCTAAAGATTAAGGTTTATAGGGTTTAGGGTTCAGGGATACCCTCTCGGGGGTATCCTATGATAAGGACTATAGTACGTTGGGGGTCTATGCTTAGGGATACCTTTTGGGGGGTTCCTATAATAAGGGCTATAGTACGTTGCTATGTTAAGGGTCTGGGGTTTACTGTAGGAACCTTTATTGTGGGTCCCATATTTTTTTTGAAAGTTATATAGGGGAATGGAAAAGAAAACGGAAACTACTACATTATGATTGGTTCTTTTGATTGTTCCTCGATTCGAGAAATACCCGTGTCTTGTGGGGAGATTTGGGGCGGGTTGAGGGAACGCATTCTTACTTTGAGCCCCTGCCAGCCACTCAACCCTAAACCCCCAGAATTTCTCAAAATGGGGATAGCCTTCGCCATCCGGGGAGAAGGAGATTGAAAGTTGCAGTGGGGATTTCCCAGAATTGTGAGTATATACAGAGACGAATTATAGAGTGATCACGCGTATTTGGGGGGGGGGGGGTACGTGGAAAGAAAATGGAGTGCATGAGGATTCCGAGGGTCTTTATTTGGGATTGCATAGGGATCATTCTGCGAAACTCCTATTTCTGGTTGTCGTCTCGTCCGCTTCCCTTGGCAGCTCTTTGGCCTTACCGCAGTCAGCAATGGGATCCCCAGGGAAAAGCCTCGGGCTTCCCTCAAAGAGGACGTCCGCTCCCTTCGGCAGAGAGAGAATGACTTGCGACCCCAAATCGAAATGGCCAAGCTCGTCCATCTTGGCTACTTCGTCTCCTACCTTTGCCATCGCCACAAAGCTTTGAACCGACCATTCGCCGATGCACAGCAGGCGCACCAAACCGAAAGCTGTGCTGAAGGAGAAAATTGTCAAGGACTCCTTGGCTGTTGATTCGTGGCCTGATCCGTCAAAAACCACTTCTGCAAGCAAGATTTCCCTGTCTGGCTTTGGGTTAGCTGGCCTTAACATCGATCTAAGCCTCAGCTCCAGGAAAAAGCTCATCCTTCTGGCAGCAGCAAACGTCTGTGATCTTGCCATCCACAGGACTGTGAACACGGTGGTAGTCCTGATTCAGATTCTCCTTGTACTTGCTCGTTCTTGTTTAGGGCTTAGGGCTTCGGACGTGGGAGAGTTTTTCGTGGCAGGTTCTTACTTGGGACATACACATGGATAGGTGGCTGGCATGGAGCGTCTTGGTTTGCACGGCTGAGGGGCACTGAGTAATTCACCACAGGATACAGCCATGTCATCTGCGCATGCGCCCTCATGCGCAAGAATCTAAGCCAAGTGCTGGCCAGCGCAGTCGCAGTTGCAAGAGCCGATGCCCATCCAACAAGCGCAGTAGCTCAGACACCGCAATGATGGAGATCTTCAGCGACATCTCGCCGCTCGGCACCTCATAATCCCCACTCGGCAACAACTGTGCTGTCATGCGAAGTGGGTATGTGATGAGTGGAATATGCGCCAGGCGTATCCCTGAACAAATGAGTTCCTCGAATTATGAGGAGTCCCAAGAGCCCAAGCCCAGCCTGTTCCCACGCTTTCCCCTGCACCGGAGCGCAAACATCCGCCAAGGCCGCTTGCGCCATGCATAGCTCATGCGTTGCTGGTGAAAGTGCCCTCAAAAACCAGTCTTCATAGGTCAGGTAAGAGGAAGGGCAGAACGCATCCTTGCCAGGCTTGTACTTGAATCGCTTGTTGATGCGATCGGCGATGAGTGTCCAGTCCTGAGCACGATTCTACAGCTCACTGTGCCACGTAACAAAATCTGCAAAGAATCTTAGCATGTTACGGCTTTGTACGCAACAACCGGGTCCGTCAGTCATAATTAGATGCAGCAGGCTTACCTTCAATCCAACCTTCCAGTAGGCCCCTAAGTAGGCTGAGCAGTGGCAGCCTGTTCTTTTTAAATTCCTCTTAGGAATAGGAACAACCCATTCACCACCCAGCTAAGCGACCACATCGGGGGCCTTTCCGCCTGTGAGCTTTGCCAGGCGGGTCTCCTTGCCAGCTGCATGCAAAAGATCAAGTCGCTGAAGCCCTGCTTGCTGTGCCAGAAACCATACCATGACGACAGAATGTCATAACAATAGAAACCACTTGAGCACCAGCAGCGACAACGAGAGTAAGAATACAACCATCAGCGGTGGCAGCAGCTACTTGCCAAAGCCACCCACCTCAACACCGCTACCGCTGCATCACGGCGGAGGTGTTTTTTTTCCTAGCGTTGGCTCCGGCTGCTTTTTTTTCCTAACGTTGGCTCCACTCGGGGGGTTCCTCGCGATATGAGAGCTCAAAAACGATGACAGTTACGAGGATGGCGACCGCGACCCGCCTGATCCCTGTGACTGTTGACACTTTTGACACGCCACAAAGATGTGAGAGCTCAAAACCCATGACAG